GGTAGAGGTGGATCCATGACTCACCACAGCTCCACTGGGAGACGTGCGCGTAGCACTCGAGGTTTTCGACCTCCAATAGATTCACGGTTCGTGGTGTTCTAGTCATGCCATACCAAGGATATGGTCATGCCTTGAATCCAAATCTAAAACTAAGCAGCGTTCCACACGATCGACGTCAAGAAACTTGACACCGAGGTCCACAGGGATCCACGGCATAGTGACACAAGTCTCCGTCGCTAAGCAAACAGTGACGGTGTCAGTCAACCGCGCTTTCAGCACCTTAGCGTACAGCTGACTTCCTTCGATCGTGGAGCCTCGAGCATAATTGCCCGACGCCCCAAAATCGATCAGGATATTCCATGGCTTCTCACAAATCTTCACAATCGCCTTTACGATCAGCAAGATCGGCTTGCATACACATTGCGTGTCCAAAAGCTTGGGGCTCATCGGCTGAGCCCTGATGCCCTATGTGTCTTCGAGAACTCAGTTCTTCCCCACTTGGGTGATCCGTGCCTGCTGGGATTTGTCCTTTACCCGCGACAAACCAGACTGGCGAGAAGCAAACGTCGATTCGGTAAACCTTGGCGCGGCTTGCGCATATGAAAACCAGTCCGAAGGTAATCGGTGTCTCCACAGACAATTCACCGTCGGGTGTTTACAGGCTACCTGGCAGCTTTGAGCTCTCCATCCTCTTTCTCAGCATAGCTGAGGTTCATTAGCTCAGGTCCGCTTGACGAGCTCTGAGGCTGTGCATTCGAAGCAAGTCATGCCGACCAAGTTGAAATCGTCAATTAATGCCACATTTACCATTTCTTCAAAAGAAGACGGATGCACAAGGAAGAGTTCCATTCTGACCACGCCAGTGAGGAGGCTCTCCATAAAGACTGTTACTGTGAACGCCTCGGGGAGAGGATCTACTGCGATCCCGGCAATGAGAGTCCGCAACTCTAGGACAAAGTGCACCAATTCCTTCTTTCCCTGTAAACGCGATCGCACGCGATATGCGCTCTATACAAGAACCAGTAGCGGATCGCAATCCGCTGATCAAAGAGTACTGGAAAGTTTAGCCCAGGTGAAGAGACTCTTCCGTTCAAAATTGAAACTGTATATAATTGTTTAATTGCTGCAGTGGCGCTGCCTTGGCTTTGAGCTTTGAGGAAGTGTGAGTTAGGTCACCGATCTTTTGTTCTATAATCAGAACCAGTACGAGTTTAGCGGATTATTAACTCTTCGGTTTAAATTCAATAACTGATTTTTATTTATTTTCGATTTAAAATAACTGATTTGAGTTTACTTTTATCTGCGGCAAAACCGCCTAATTTTAAATGCATAGATTTATCTAAATATGTATAGTAAAATCTAAATCTAAAGACATGTATAACTACTGGCTATCCAGCCTCGTACTGTATTCTTGTTTGGGTGTGTGTCACACCAGATGGGCATGGTGTGACACACACACCTATTACAAGGGTATGTGTAACCCCGTTACCCTCTAAGAATGAGAACATTTACAGTTCCAATCGATTATTGCCTCAACGAGGTTTGCGTGTCCGTTAGACACTGCGTTGGACCGAAACGTACCCGAGGTTTGCGTGTCCGTTAGACACTGCGTTGGACCGAAACGTACCCGTGTGCGCTAGCGCACACGGGTAGAGCTCAACTTCGTCTTTTGCACGCGGTGCTATGTCGGACCATGTGTCCGCGGCATCAGAGATGTAAGTCCTAGTTTCGATGAGCCCGAGCGTCGTGCTCCGCGCACACTATCGATGACGAGTGACCTCGTAGGATGAGGAACTGGTCGACTACGAGTCTGACACTCCCTTTCCCGCATGGATTGACGAGGAAGGCGAGCTGCGCCAGGGGCGTAAGACGAGCCCTGCTCGCGCCTTGCGGACTCCATCTCTATTTCCTGACTCCTTGTCACTTGAAGGACGTGGTGTAATCACCAATGACCTCGACGGAGCACAGAGGCGGCAGCTGGGAGCTGCCCGTAAGGCAGCTCTGATGCGCGCCCAACCACGGTCGGTCATTGACCCTCGTGTGGAATATGGCTTCC